AGGACTATTGATTCCTTCCACAGTATCCCACAGAAGTTTCAGGACATGGCTCTAGACAGAAGATACAGGATCTGAGCCAGGTCTGGGAGATTTACACAGCCTGTGTCCCTTCAGATAGAAAAGTCTGGTCTTATGAGATGGCCCCTAACAAGTGTCCCCTTGAATAAAAGGGCCTAGTCCTTATGGGGTGGCCCCTGACAGTTGGCATTTGTGCCCTGTCCCAGGACAAGAATCCTGGAAACGCCATTCACCAAGAAACTGAACTTCAGGCTGTGCACCTGCCCTCCAAGTGCCTTTGACCCTGGCATCCCTGGATGGAACCATCACAGGTCCTGCGCCATACAGCGTTTGGCTGGCTTCTCCACCAAATAGTATCTCCACAGATACTATGAGCTTCACACCCCCCGCCATTTCTAATTCGATTTGTCCACAGTCATCAGCCCCAGTGCACACCCAGGAACCTTTCATAAACCCGAGACAAAAGGCCAGGGTATATGACCCCTTTCCAGGGAGGGGCACCAAGATAGGGGGTCCTCCAGGCTTAAGAGTAGAACCACAAGGAAGCTGAGGCTACCCCTCCACCTGTGTCAACTTCATACAGGAAACTCACTAGGGATGCCAGCACTCCCCGTGAGTACATGATGCTCACCCAGGGCCACACCATGTTGGGGACACCTGAGATCATCACACATGTCTGCCACTCAATGTGCAAACTGCACGCAGGTGAGGAGGGGAGAACCAAATAAAAACCAGTTCTGGGGTGGCCTCCCCTAAGAGGATAAACATCTCAGAAGCATGCACCTCTCCTGGGCTGCTATTTGCCCCATAGGCAATGGAAAGTGAAAAGCCTGCTCCTCCAGTGGTCATAAACTCATAGAGGATGACTGTACTTCAAGGAGTCAGTCTTCACACTGAGCCTCAGCACCTGGGCCAGGCTTCTGGGGCAGCAGGGTCTGCAGGCACGCATGGACACAGCCAGACATCCACTGGCTCATCCACTGGTCCTCGGTGTCATAACTAGACTGAGTTCGCCACCAGGACAACTCCTGTCCTGTCAGAGCAGTGTGTGCTGTGGCTGTACTTGGTCCCTCAACGGGAGGCGTCTTTACTCCGGCTTTTACATGCTCACATCCCTGTGATGCCTTCTGGGAAAGGAGCTGAACTCCATCTGAACAAGAGTGCATACGGACACACGTGCGCACATGCACGCTCAAGCTCCACATTTGTTCCACGTCACGGAGATTCAATGCATTAGAACGTTAGCCCTGCCAGAAGTAAAGGAACCTGGGACTCAGGACTGCTGGCTGGTGAGCCCACCTCTTTCGAGAGAGGCACAGGGGTAGAAACGCAAGAAGGTGGCCCCCTAGGCAGGCTGTGGTCTGTCTTGTCTGAGAAGTCCTGCATCCCAAGACGGGGCAGTACCCTGCTGGCAACGGGTGTTACCCCTTGTCCAGTCCCCCAGAGCTGGCAGAGTACCAGAGAGCACAATGGATGCTTGCTTGTGCCAGGACCAAGTGAGAGCCTAGGTTAGGCTGCAGGTGGGGACAGGGCCTTAAGCTAAGACAGAAAAGGCCAGGTAAGACAATATTGGATGCAAATGGCCAGAATGTGTAGCCAGTGGGATTTTACAAAAGCCCCAGAGAAGCAGACAAGAGCAGGGCAAGGTCTTCCAAGGTTTCTAGAACCTTCTGCGCTTGTGGAACAACAGCATGAAGAAGGCATTGGCAAGATGCTTAGACCCCAAATCTCCTAGATGAGGGATGGGCCTCCAGCCCCCCTGTCTCCTCGGGGTGTTTCTGTCCCCACCTTAGCTGGCCTGGGTCAGAGGTGGGCAAATGTGCAAAGAAGACCACTCTCAAAGGCTGAAAGGCTTAAGCACTCCCTTCAGAGGACGAATTACCTAGAAAGGTGCTCAGCCTGGAAAAGAGAAAGAGGTAAAGTGGGCAGGGGGAGGGCGTGTTCATTAGAGGCCACACCCAAAGGGGGACGTTCCAGGGAGCAGTTCCTACTTGACCTCAGTTAGCCCTGCTGCCACCAGCATGTCCTACCTTGCTGCTTACCGCTGCCATGTGCAGAAGGGCAGAACGACACATCTTGGCATTCTTCCCAAACCCAGAGTTTTCAGTAAGGCCACACTGCACGCCTTACTCATTGCACGACGCTTTATTGGGCACCTCCCAGCAGCCATGCCAGGGGAGCCCAGCTGGGCCACCCTGGGAGGGGCAGACACAGAAATGTATCCGCTGGTCACTGAGGAAGAACAGGCCAGGAAGAGGGTGTGGTCCCAGCGGGAAGGCTGGGTCCCCTTTATGGGGAAGGGTGGGACAGGTCAGAACAGGGCTTTGGAAGAAAATGCAGATTATGGGGACCTGAAGGAAAAAGAGGGTCAGCAGGAACACCATGGGTGGAAGTTCAGAGGGAGGAAAGCCCCTGGAGTGTCCAGAGGCCAGTGCAAGGGGAAGCAGACCAAGAATGACAGGAGTGATACCCAAGGAGGGCTGAGCGCCTCCAGCCAGGTCACGAGATTGGGTCAGACCCAGAGCACAGGACTGTCACTCTCCAGACTCCTCTCAAGTGTGGGGGCTCAGCCATCTTTTCCGAGTGCCTAGGAGATACCCCTAGGAGATACAGCTTCCTGCTGGGAGACGCGGAAACCACTGGCACTGCCCACCAAGCTCCATGGGAGTCTCCGACAGCTGTGGGGAAAGGAGGGAGACCAAGCCTGTCAGAGCCACCCCCCACCCCCGCCAGAGGCTGGGAGGTGTAGGGGTTAATGCCAGGCCCTCTGTGCACCCCTTCACTGGTAGACCACTGTGACCCACTTCCACTTGGGAGTGGAAGGCTGACCAAAACCCAGCCCTCCCCAGTCATGCCAGGGGCTTGCCCCTCCCCCAGGCTGTTCCAAGATACCCAATGGACCCCATCCAACACATCCCTCCTTTTCTCTCCCCTGCCCGCCCTCTGCTGGAGCCTGGAAAGGGCAGGCAGAAGGACCTGCCAGGGCCCTTGAGACATGAAATTCACCCCAACTTGTGTACTTTCCCAAGTTTGCCAGGTCCCCTGAGGCCTAAGCCTCCCATGGATTTCAGATGAGTCTTGGCCTTGGGCCGGCATTCATGCTCTAGACAAGTAGGACAAGCCAGGACAGTCTAAGCAACTGGTAGAAAGAGTGAGAGCAACAGCTCTTTGGGGGTGCTGCCCTGAAGGGCAGTGGGGAGAGAGGGCTGGAGAGGAGGGGTGAAGAGGGACAGAAGCCAGAAGTGGGGAGCACCGCACTAGGAACTGTCAGGCCAGGTGTGTGTCCCAAAAGCCGGAATCCTCTCCCGAACTCTGGGTCTTTCTCACCTGTGCAGGAGGCCAGGGGTCGGAGGGGCCTGGGCGCTTCATCCAGTACTCTGGGGTCCTGAGGTGTGGGGTGCAGTCCGCTTCCCACACAACAGCAGCAGCTGCCCAGGAAGGCTGCCGGCTGCCTTCCCAGGTGTCCCCCGTCAGGAAGGAGTGGTGATCAGGTGTGACTGCTGCCACAGGGCAGGACCAGGAGGGCTGGACGGACGGCCAAGGACACCCAGACACACGTGTCCGCACCCCAGGCGGCCTTTCCAGAGGCTGAACTTAAGAAGCGGAGGACTTGCCTCAGATCCCTGTCCCAGGTCCTTACAGGAAGGAGCAGGACAGGCTTCCTAGACTGGTGTCTCCCAGAGATGAGGGAATCTTGGGCTGAAGAGAACGATCTCTCGCCCTACACGAGACGGGGCCTCACAAGCTCCCAGTCTGCTCCTCAGGCTCTCAGCAAGTGTCTCTTCTCACCCTACCACCCGAGTCCAAAAGAGAAGGCACCAGTGAGTCTGCCCGCTCCGAGGAGCCCGGCTCGGGGATAGAACCATGAACGGAGCTCCCTAGTGAAGCGCGTTCAGACAGAGTTCCCCAACCTACCCGAAAGACCCTGCAGAGAGTGCAAGACAGCGAAGGGGTCCGCTGGCTCCCTACAGGTGGGGAGGCCTGGTGTCCAGCCTAGCCCACCGAACAGGGGGAGGGGAGCACACCCACAGGTCCCCCGCTCTGCGGGCACAGCACACCCCAGCTGCTCCAGCCGCGGGTCCCGCGAGGGTCTCCCCGGGAGGGGCGTCCCGCCAGGACGGTGGGAAGCGGGGGGAGAGGGCGCGCGCCCACCTGCGCGCCCTTTGGGTCACTTGTCCGG